TCAAGGGCCTAAGTATGCCTCTTCCAAATTTTGGCACCACCGGGTATTTAGCCAGCCTGGTTCTCAGGTGTGCATCGCACCATCGATCCAACTAAGGACCAAGCATGGTTTCGTATTAAAAATTATTCTTTTGTTACGCACAGATAATAGACATTTGTGTATCTTGCATAAGGAAAATGAAAAACCGTCTGGTTAGCTGGTTGACTGGGTAGTTAGTGTGTGCGTGTGGTGCCGGATTCGATCGATTAATTCGGAGTGTTGAATGGGTACATCCAGGTTAAAACAATTGTCCAGTGCTTCGCAGCCTTTCAGTTCACAAGTCAATTAGTCCGCACACGACGAAATTCCCGATGTAATAGGTTTTATCTCACATCCACCTGCGAATAGTCTTGTGGCGTTAGTGTCCGACCCATCTTCCTTACACCACCTTCCCACGTGGCCGTATGTTCGCCAGTGGGCAATCATACGCTCGGGTTGCACCACACTAGAGGATTTACATTCTGATAATATAATTTCGAAGATTATAATAAGAATGATACACTCTATGAACATTAACATGATTTCTTTGGTTCAAGTGGAAAAAGATTTGGTTCTTCAGTCATTTGAAGGCTAGTGAACGAGGAGGGAGATGATGATGACAAAGGAAGATGCTAGCAGAGAAACAGATGCGTGATGAAAAAGAATGAACTGTGGAGTGAATGAAGTCCAAAATGACTACTTAATACCAACCATCACGACGAAAGTGTACCTTCATGGCTTGCGTGCATACATGACCCTGCGAGTTATACAAGATGGCTCCAAACAGCTGCAAACCTAATCATGCATGAAATATCAGTGGTTAGAGGCCAGATAAAGCTGTCTCACAAGGCTAGCTGTTTGGGCATCTCTTGGTTTCCCTTTGTTCATCCACTCTCGCTCTTGAAGAGGTCACTCCGGCAAATAAACACGGGGAGGCGCAGTTTATTAGTCACTGAACCCTCGCTAGATGGACATTGGAACGGGGTACCTGGGGCTTCCTCCCGAAGATGAGAGAGGTCTTCGCATTTCACTGGACGGTCACCGCAAACCCCTGGCTGGACAGCCCACAGCCAATGAAATACTGTCCCGTTCACGTTCCGCTTGTCTCATTGGATGTGTGAAACTAAGGGCCGATCCCGAAAAGCGGACCGCCATTCAGCTAACCAGCGAACAATACACTGAACCAAACCCGACAGTTCTATAGATGCTCCCACACAGGTGGTTCGGTCACGCCCTCGCGTTGGATCTACGCCCCACTGCCTTTTGGGTCACACTTTTGAGACGAAGGCTACGCTCAGGGTTCCCACAAAAAAAACCCGTCATCGGTTTGGGCTACCGTTATGTATATCGTGCCCCAAAGTCTTAAGTAACCATCTAAAAACAATCCTGCATATCTGTCCAGTTCTTCCTCTCTCTCACACTCTGCGTTCAACTTGCGTTGTGAGGTACTACTCACATTTGTGAGTAGTGCACAAAAGGATAGCATCGATGGTTTCTTTCAATAGTTCAGAATGAACAAAACCCATTAGTAACTACATGAATGCGTATCTACTGTTGGACCGTTCCATCAGTTATCCTGTGTGAGCGTGGGAATTCTGAAGACTCGTTCTAAATGAGACATTTTCTGATTTGTAAACCATTTTAACAGTACCCTGGCCGTTATTCATAATAAATAACTATCCTCCTCCACGAAACGCCTTGTGGAATTATAACACTAGTAAGATCAACCAATCAATTTGTGTTCAATAAAAGGAAGTAAAATTAAAAATGAAATGAGCGAAATACACTGGAAACACTACTGAGTAGAATGTTCCGCTGCAGTTCACTTGCACTTTTATCCTACAAAACTGGGTCAAATGGCAATGGGTGATCACAACCCACAAGCCCGCCCACATACCCTCCAGTATCGTGATGGGATGAGCCGGCCACTTTATGTTTATCTTTCACTATTCGTGAAAAAAGAATTCACAGTTGCCAACCCCTGTAAGACGGACGACGAAAAAAAACATTTCAACCGGCTTATTCCGACAGAGCAAAAAGCAGACTGCCTGAACTGTGTGAAAATACACAGAACACTTTCTTCAAATCGGATCATTTCAGAGTGGGGAAAACATGTGCAGGCAGAAACCAGTGACCACGATTTCTGGCTACCTGGCTACCTACCTACAGTAGGAGAAATACAGGAATGTTAAAAGTGGAATCAAAGTGAAAATAGAAAATTTTAGTGGAGGAGTTGAGCAAGAACGAAAAATGCTTGTTTTTAAACGCCCAATTCAGTTCAGAGAACAAACTTGAATGAGGCTTGGAACACTAAGCGCTGGGAGAAACAAATGAGATAAAAGTCTGAATGTTGTATGTCACTGACGGAGGAGAGAAAACAGTTTATGAAGAATAACTCCATAGTTTAGTGCACGTTCGAATTAAGTTAGATATTTCTCGAGGAAAACCGGATATCAACTGATAGGCTGTACAGTATTCA